CTCCCATATCCGACCTCCCAAGGCTCTGTCACCCCGCACCAATTCCTCCACATGGCTCGCCTAAACCCCGACTCCGCCTACTACTGTCTTGTCCTTGATCGCGAAAGTCCCAAGGACTTACTCCCGACGGACAAACCCGATCAAGCCCCGCCCTCCAACCCCGCCATCACTTCAATCCTCGATGAGTTCAGGGACGTCTTTCCGGAGTCCTTACCCGCCGGACTACCTCCGGATCGTGGCGTATCGCATACCATCGATTTGGAACCCGGACATTTTCCACCTTGCCGCCCTCCATACCAACTCTCTGTCCCCGAAGCCGAAGAAATGAAACGGCAACTCGGTGAACTCCTTGAAAAAGGGTTCATTAAGCCAAGTTCATCCCCCTTCGGAACCAGCTGCCTTTTCGTCAAGCAAGGTGGAACTTCGGAACTCCTCATGTGCACAAACTACCGCGCCTTGAACCGGATCACGATCAAGAACAAGTACCCCCTGCCTCGGATTTCCGAGCTCCTTGATCGTCTCCGTGGAGCCAAGTACTTTACCAAGATCGACCTTCGTAGTGGCTTCCACCAGATCCGTATCCGCAAGGAGGACACTCACAAGACCGCCTTCCGCTCTCGGTTCGGGCACTACGAGTTCCTCGTGATGCCATTCGGACTCACCAATGCCCCCGCTACCTTCCAATCCACCATGAACCACATCTTCCGCAACCTCCTCGAAGTCTGTGTCGTTGTCTACCTTGATGACATCCTTGTCTTCAGCCCCACCTTCGAGTCCCACCTTCAGCACCTCCGCCAAGTCCTCGCGATCCTCCGAGAGCAAAAATTCTACGCCAAGCTCAACAAATGTACGTTTGCCRCTTCGAGCGTYGAATACCTYGGCCATATTGTCTCCGCTGAAGGCATCCGTATGGACCCCTCAAAGGTCACAGCCCTCGTCGAGTACCCCCCACCCAAGACCCTCCTCCAACTCCGATCCTTCCTTGGCCTTGCCAACTATTACCGCCCGTTCATTCGCAACTTTTCCGAGATCTCGTACCCTCTCCACGAACTCACCCGCAAGGACGAGCCTTTCCATTGGAACGATTGCCGCCAACAAGCTTTCGACTTACTCAAGCAAACCATCACCACGGCCCCTGTCCTCAAGATCGCCGACCCCACTCGCCATTTCTATGTCACCACTGACGCCTCCGACTTCGCCATCGGAGCCGTACTGTCCCWACATTTCCCCCGCGACACCGCCGAGAYCCCCCCCATCAAGGACTCGYCCACTCACCCCGAGGCTCCACCTGGCGAATACCCTATCGCCTTCGCAAGCAAGAAGCTCCTTCCCGCGGAGATGAATTACCCCTCCAACRAGAAGGAACTCCTCGCCGTGATTCACRCCCTCACAGTYTGGCGCCCGTACCTCGACGGGCAATACTTCACCATCCGCACTGACAACACCATCGTCTCCTCCATCCTCTCCAAGAAAGATATCACTCCACGCCAAGCTTGCTGGCTAGACTTCCTTGCCCAGTTCACATTCACCATTTGCCAYACCCCCGGCAAAAGCAACCGCGTTSCYGATGCCCTCTCGCGACGACCCGACCACAAGCCCCCCGAGAAAGTCTACGCCACCATGACTCATATTCAACTCCTTCCATCGCTTCATCATCRATACACCCRAGKGTATCTCTCCTGCCCAGACTTCGCCACCATTTACAACAAGCTCCGCGATCTTGACTCAGTTCCCGACTACTCCCTTCACAACAATCTCCTCTACATCGATACCAAAGGCACTCGCCGACTTTGCATCCCCGACGCACGAGGCCTCCGTACTCAGCTATAGGCCGAGCACCACGACGCCAAGACCGCAGGACATCTCGGTTTCCAGAAGACCTTCGACACCATGTCTCGCTACTTCTACTGGCCTTCCCTACTCGCCGACGTTAAGGCATACATTCGCTCGTGCCCCACGTGTCAAGCTGTCAACCCCTCGAACCGGGCCAAACCCGRCAAGCTCCAATCATTGCCCATCCCAACTCACCGGTGGCAGTCCATCTCCATGGACTTCTTGTGCGGCCTCCCCAAGACCGACCGCGGGCATGATTGTCTCATCTATGTCATTGTCTGCCGCTTGACCAAACGTGCCCACTTCATCCCTTGCACGACCTCGCACAGTGCCAAAGACGTCACCACACTCTTCTTCGACCATGTCGCTCGCCATCACGGCCTCCCCGAGAACATCATCAGTGACCGTGATCCTCGCTTCCTCTCACAATTCTGGAAACACCTATTCACGGCCTACGGAACCATGTTGAAGTATAGCACTGCATTCCACCCACAGACCGATGGACAAACAGAGAAGATGAACGATACACTCCAAAGAATCCTACGGAAGTATTGTCATCCACACCAACACGATTGGGATCAGTTGCTCACAGCCCCCGAAATTGCCTACAACAATGCTGTCTGCCCCTCCACTGGCATGTCCCCTTTCTACCTCGACCTTGGCTACCATCCCCGCTTGCCCTCTGATTTCTTGCTTCCCTCGCAGCTCAGTCCCTCCACCCCTTGCCCCTCTCTCAATGAATGGATAGGAACAATAAACAGACTCCTCAGCGAAGCAACCGAAGCCCTTGAAAGAACACAAGAACAACAAGCCAACAAGACTAACAAACACCGACGTGACTTGTCATTCAAAGTAGGGGACAAAGTCTGGCTTTCTGCCAAACGCTTTGAACCCGAACAAGGCTTGTCCAAGAAACTCTYGAACAAGTGGCTCGGTCCCTTCCCCATCATTGAACAAACCTCCCCCGTCAACTACAAACTCCAACTCCCCCCTGACATGAGTCGTGTCCACCCAGTCTTCCATGTCGAGTACCTAAAAGAATACCATGAATCCCCGCTCCAGTTCGCCGACCGCCCATATCCTAGACCTCCACCAATCATGCCACCCACAGGCCCTGAATTCGTTGTCGAAACCATCATCGGCCGACGAACCACTCAG